GGCGCTGAACGGTTCACCGTAAGAAGAAAACGCACCAGCTTCATATACTGGGGCTGGTGGTGGGTGGTGGTACCGGTCAGCAGCTCCATATCTATCAGGAAGAGGGGCACGGGAGGGCATTGGAGCAGGGCCACGGGAGGGCATTGGAGCAGGAGCACGCTGCCAGTTAAAGCCCGGAAATGGAGGCCTGCGAGCAGCTGAACCAACAGAACCAGCTGGTCTCCTAGGAAATGAAATGCCAGGGCCTCGAGGCTTCTTCGCATAAGTACGGCCAGCATCAGTTGATGGCCTTTTCTCACCCTTGGGCTTAAGCTCAGAAACACGCTTTTGGAGAGGTCCAAGAGAACACTCCTTCTGAAGCTTATACTCTTCGATACACTTTATCACAGCCCTCAAAGCAAGTAGCTCCCTAGATTTTGGGTCATCCTGAAAATTGGATTCATCGAGTCATAAGACAAACATGTAAAGTTATAATATAACAAACAATAGAAGTGAAACAAAAAGGATTGCAAATCAAATGTGAAACTACCATAGCACATGATTTAATATAAGAAAGGAGTTATTTCACATCAGCACTAATAACATTGTGGCCATTATCCCACAATGCATAAGGCAATTGTGAGATACAGCCGAAGCGCCTAACAAAACATATACAGTAACATTCACAGACAGCACACCAAGCATTATAGACTGAGAGCAATATACTGTTTCCCTAGAAAATTCTGGTGGTGAAGGTAAAATAGATTCCAAGAAATGAAAGATGGGCTCTCAATGTCAGTCTTATCAAACTTCTCAATAGTTCCTTCCTAGTTTGAAGTAATAGGAATTGGTATTATCCAGATTTTGCTCTCTTGAACCAGTTGACAGGTTGAAGAACTCATATCCAATTAATACCCGTACCCTAGATAGGATCTTTTTTCCATTCTTTATTTAGTAAAAAACTAGTTCTCTAAATTATATATTGAAAAAAAACAAATTATATCCACAAAAAAGGGTTAAAAAGTTAAATTAGATCTACCTCGGATTTTTCAGACCTCTTTAAGAAGACCAAAAGATGAAATAAAAAATAGCTTCATAAAAAATGAAGCTTTTATTTTACAGTACTATACTAGACAATGAAACAGTTCTGTCAATGAAGCAATATCAACCGATGAACTATGCATGCCACTAGACAGCCTCATCAATCAAGATCACAAAAAAGGATAAAATCAACAAACCTTTAACGAGGCTGCAGTTGCATCCCCATTATTTTCAATTGTATTCTTTAGTTCCTCAACATATGTCTTCAGCAGAGGTGCAGGGGGAAATGTCTCTGAAAGCCCGAAAGCTTGTACAAAATGAACTGCATCAATTTGCCTGTGCCGCCTAACCAACTCCTCAATGATACCTAGAAACATAAAATGTCAATAGAAAAACTTAAAACACTAATTTCATGCAGGCACTCAATGTTTTGCACTTGAACAAAACAGTAAGCAAGTTTTAGTTCCCTAGATGGTTTGGGGGTTTAGTGACAATGAACAGCAGCAGCCTGACAAATGAAGGGATTAGAACGCCTTGTGGCATTCTGGGTGGATACCAACCTGGCATTTTCTCATTAAGACCAAGAGAGCGACAGCACACAGCAGTCTGCTTGCGACGAGAGACAGCAACTACGATCTTGCATAGTTCATCTTCGTCAAGCACCGAATCAACATTAAAAGTTGTAAGAAGCTGCAGGAAAGCCTGTGCCTCCAATGAATAGCCATTAGAAGCATCCAGGTCAACCTCAGCTAACTTACTCTTCCACTCTTCGGCAATTGCCTTGGCTTGCTCCTTAATTTCAGAGCTCCAAGGGTCGTTGCCACCAGGCTCCGTCGTCCCTAGTGCAGGTGCTATAGCTTCCATTAAAACAATGCAGCTCTTGCGCTGGACCTCAAGAGCGTTATGTTTACTCCCAGGTGAATTAGTTTGGTCTGGTGGGAAGAAACCCTCCAGGGAATTAAGTACAAAGCGGGCAGGGTCAGTTGCACATTTTAGTGCAACAGAAAGTTCATCACGAAGGCTAGCAAGTTTTCTAGAATTTTCTGAAAGAAATTTCAGAAGGCCTTTGGTGTCCATCTGCTCACATAGTTGCTTCAATACAGGACGCGGCTTAGTCTCAACAGGTGAAGCTTCAGATGCCTCGCCCAACCCACTAGCAGGGGTATTCTCCTCTGAAGCACGAGATGCATTGTTGTCATTGATTGAGGTACTTACCTTTTTGTCTTTGCTTCCACTTGCATCAAGTATCTCAGCAAGCTCCACCTTATATTTTTGCCTAACCTCTGCTAGAGAAGAGACGGCAGCATCCCTTAGCTCCTGAAGCTGATTCAGGGAGGCACGCTCTTTTGTAGAAACATTAGCCTCTTTCTCTGCAATCAACCTACGAGCTTCAGCTTTCTTTTCTTCTAGTGCCTTCTGCTTCTCTACCAGTTCATCAAACTTGCTTCTGTACAACTTATCAAGGCTGAGGAAATGCCCTTTGATATCTTCCCATTGCATGCCATTTTGCAATTGCAGAGATGCTTCGGTGTGGGATTTCAACTTTCCAAATACTTCAGCAAGCTGTTCCAGTAATGGCATTGCAGATTCAGAACCACCAGAATTGTTCAAAGTCGTTTCCGTAGCCATTTTGCAACAAAACCAATAATAATCTGGAGGGACACAGGGTAATGTACTGTCAGTTGAAGAACAGGAATTGAAAGAGAACAAGTACAGGTTATGTAAATTTCCACGACACAGCAAGCAAAAAATCAAATAAAGAAAAACGATGTAAAACCTATAAAGCTAACCAGAGCAGAACAATGGACGCTGTTTGCCTTCTTGTTAGGGGGAAAATAGTTCTTTGTTAATTCACTGAATAAAGCATGATAACTCTCCAAGTGAACGAAGATAGAATTCACATAAATTACACTGGTGTGTTTGCTGAATTTCTCAGTTTGGCAGTGAACGAAAAGAAGACCAACCTTACAGACTAGCAAGTGTAATCTATAAAATCCCCCTTCACACCAAGGCCCTGTTTTTCTACTTATAACCGGATTCCCGCTGAAAAAAAAAGCGAGAATCCCACCAAAAGCTTCGATAATTTTTTATTCTTCTGACCGCCGCTTCAGAACTTTGAACTAGCATGATCGAGAATCGAAAAATCCCCACGCTATGGCGATTATGAGCAGAAACAAAAAGGGCCCCCAAAAATATGTTTTACTGGGCGGTTAATTTGCCATCCACTGCTAATGCTAAGAACAAAAAATAATATTATTTGCTAGTAGATGCTGACCTATGTTTTTCTCCTTCATGCTGTAGTAAATTTGCAATTCAGAATTTCTTGTGCCTAAGTTCTTTCAGTACTGCCAAGCCGATTGTTCAAAACAGCCAGATTTGACTGATCCAGGATTGATTTTGGGTTTGGTTGAGTTAAACAATATTATTATCCAATAACAAAGCAAATCAGAAACAGACCATTTTGTGATCAGATTTTGTTGTGGTAGTATACTAACACGTAAGTAACATCTGTTCAATCAACCCACCTTGGAGTGATCACGCGAAATCAGCCTCACAATCAGCCTAGTCACTGGATTTCTACTTTCTATAGTACATATTTTGAAACATATCATTTTATGTCTGTGGGCTGCAAAGGTATCCCTATTCACAAATCACCTCATCAGCAGTCAAGTGTACCCAGTATATAATTAGTAGACCAGTTCAAAATTGCTCTTTTTCACGAGAATATGCAAGAGAGGTGTGCGTCAACACGGTAAGCAAGAAAATTAGAGATTTGCAACCAAATACGTATACTTTTTTTGCACACAAAAAAAAAGACAACTCGAGACAGCACACTTATGGAATTCATCAGGGATTGGGTCAAAATTGTAAAGCAGAGTGAGACGAAAAAACACAGCACAAGGGGGGTGGGGTGGGGGCGGGTGGAGACAAGGGCATGCCAGCGGTGTCAGTGAAGAGGGGCGGGGGGGGGAGCATCTGCTACTGCGCGAGCGCGAGAGGACGGGGGAGAGAGCAGCTGCGGGCATGCTGCCTCGCGCGAGGAGGGCCCAGGGCAGAGATGGATGGGGAGAAAGAGGTGGAGGTACCTGCAGGGCGCTGCCGCGCCTGGGACGGAGGAGGGGGGACCGCTGAATCCCTTCGCCGGTTGCGCGCCACCGGTCGCCGTCGCCCGCGTGCCGCTGCTAGGGTTAGCCGGTAGGGAGAGGTCGAGACTCGACGAGAAGGGACAGCGTTGGTCGATTGGGGCGGGATCGGCGACTGGGGAATCGGGTTGGGTGGGAGTTCTGGGCTGGCTGTTGACCCAGTTTCGCGAGCCTCATGTGTTGGGCTGGGCCGTTATTCTTTACTTTCTGTGGTTCGGCCGGACGAAAAGAAAGGAAAAAACTTTCTAAGTCGTTCGATTCTCCGGATCATGAATAAAACCATTTTTTTTCATACCTCGCTTTTAAGTTTTTTTAATAGCAAACGTGTCCATAGTTTACATGGAACGTGTAGTTTTTTGCACAATCACTTATTTGGAGATCAGAAATTTATTATTCAACTCCCATGATATGTTCAAGAATGCGTGGCTACAACTACACTCTTATTTTATATTTTTCTTCTCACCTCTACTTCCTTTTCTCTTCACGTCAATTTATTTGATACATTATACTTAGACCGTGAAACCAAATACACTTCGGTACAGAACAATCTATCCAACTAGATATAATATCTTCTACAACTAAAAAAAATAAAATATGAACACTCTTTATAGGGTTGATCGTCCTGCTCGTGATCCCGCACCCCTCCCTGCCTTGCGACAGAATTTAAAAAGGAAGGAACCTCGCTCCATGTCAAAAGCAAGGAAACAAACCTCGCTCCGTGATTCGTCTGCCCAGCTCCGCATACACATTCCACAGCGCCCCCATCGTCACCCTCACCGCACGCGCCCGCCCGGCTCCCGCGCCCGCCCACAGCTGGATACCGCCCGCTCTTCGCCCATGGCCTCCTCCATCGACGTGCGTTGCGACACCCCCCCCGTCCAGATCCGCGTTGCCTCAACGTCTTCCTCTCTATCTGTGTCTCCTGAGCACCGGCGGCCCACCTCAACACTGATGGCAGTGGACCAGTGGACCTGTAAGAGACGGACGTGGTGGCGACCTCACCCCCGAGGCCTTGACCTAGCTCCTGGTGGTGGCGACCTCACACTAGAGACCTAACGCCTGGTGGTGCCTCCCCTGTAGGTGCATCTCTCCTCTTCTACCATTCGTGTGTACCCCATCTGATCTAATCCACCCAAATAGGAACGTGTGGAGGATAGGGGAAGGACTGGCGGCCAGCAACCCGTCTACAAGATTGTCGTCATCACCGACCCCCTGCAGTCGCCAGTGTTGCCTTCCCCAAGGTGTGCCTTTGCTTCATCTGACTAATCCCTGCCCTGAAGCTTGTTTCAGATAAGCCACCTTGGCCTGCTCGATCTATGATTTGTTTGAGATAAATCAATTTGGCAGACATGATTGCATATGATTTCTTGGCCTGCAACTTTTGAGCAAAAGAAGCTGATATGAATATTGTTTTTGACCAATCTCTGCGCATTTTTCGGTCTTGTGTTCAGCTTATCATGGAATTTATATTTGCTGCAGAACGTGAACAGGTTGCGTATCATGTGTTTGATGGAATGCCCAGACAGTTTCAGTGCTTCTAAATTTCGTGCATACTTCATTATTAATAATATCAATATTGTGCCTTTGGTATTATGCTATAGGAGTAAAAATTGAATTTCTGTTTTGTATTGTTCACGTTGTGTGAGCGGATTATTGAAATTAATTGGCTTTGATTTCAACACTTTGATTCAGTTAACAAATTAAAGATACATGTAATAGGGTGTCCTTGGATTGGCAAATAATTTTATTTCTTGTTCCTTAAAAATATTGGCTACTAAGAGTAATTAATATTTGAGAGAATGTCAATGTATTGAAATGGGAGTTCATGGATATAAACTCTGGTGCATGTTCAAACAGGTATAAAAAGTCATATGGATTGTTCTATTGTCGTGATTCTAAATATTATGATATGGCATTATCATTTGTGCTCATCAATGATTGCCTTTTCAAGAACCACAATCAGCATGCAGGTGTACAATGGTATTTGCCTGATCATCTTCCAACTCTAGCTCATCATCCAAATTTAATCAGTGGACGTTGCCTCATTTTGACAAATAGATGATCAGGCAACTTATTTGAGATCAATGTGATTAGCTCACTGAATAATAAAAATTGGAACTTATGGTTAGCTACTTTACATGGGATAATGCAACTTATTTGATCTGCAAAACTTTAGGCTCTGTTTCATGTAGATCTCCACACTGGTTCTATCATGGATCATGGTGATTGGTGAATGTTACTTCAAAGTCATTTGGTCTAGAGTTTAGGTTCTACAGACCATTAGGTTTTGATGGCTTTTGTAGTAAAATCAATCTAACGTTGTATCTTGGCATGTTGCCTTTTTGGAAGCATGGTGGGTTGGGACTGCGGTATTTGACTGAGACCATTGTCCAAGTTTATTTTCGTGCATGTATGGAACAAACCTGTTTTCTCAATCGTTTTTATGAGAATTGTGCATCTATATGCAACTTTTCATTAGTGGACGTGGCTCAAAATGTGTGAACGAATATTTGAAAAGTGGAGGGATAAATCAGTGCAAATAGCTTCAGAGTTTTAGCTTCTTATGAGAATTGTGCATCTGTATGCAACTTTTTCATTAGCGGGACATGGCTCAAAATGTGTGAACGAATATCTGAAAAGTGGAGGAATAAATCAGTACAAATAGCTTGAGAGTTTTAGCTTCACCTTGAAATTGGCAAGTCCACACAATCACATAAAAAACAAATATAGGCAGATTTTCTATTTGGTGCCATTTCATATGAGCTACAATCTTCATAAAAAATCATCTCCGTCTGAGGTCGTATAAAAAAAGATACGATTTATCTAAGTTGGGTCTTGCTGCTAACATGTGGGTCCCATCTGTCATGCCACATAGGATAGCAGGTCGGGCCCGTTGAGAACTGGATCATACCTGTTAGAATTGAGGGAGCCAAAAATACATTTTGGGGCTTTGGGACAACTTTGAGGACAACGGGTGAATTTCTCTCTTTTGAAAGTTACCTGTGAATTTGAACCTTATGCCATATGGATGGTTTCTTAGTGCTAAATGTTAATATTATGTATCCTTCAACCCTTGGCTTCCCTAGCAATTTGTAACTTGATCTGCTTGTACACTGCAGGCAAAGGATGTGAACCTGAATGGAATGAGACCTTTGTGTTCACCGTCTCCGATGGCGCTACAGAGCTATTCATCAAGCTCCTGGATAGTGGCAGTGGCACCGATGATGATTTTGTTGGTGAAGCAACGTACGTAATTACATTTTGTAATTTGTAGGCTTGTAGCTGGACCAATCCGACCTGCAACTACTCAGTGATAACCCATGTACAGTGACGTTAGTTTGCATCCCTCTTGCGGTTTGCATGTTTTGAAGATGTTTTGGGATTTAAATTTTAACGTTTGCGGTGTTTATTTCAATCGAGTGCTTGGTTCTTGCAGGATTCCTCTGGAAGCAGTTTATATAGAATGAAGCATCCCTACAACTGTTTACAGTGTTGTGAAATATGAAGAATACCGTGGAGAAATCAAAGTTGGTCTCACATTCACTCCAGAGATAACAATCTCACATAGCCACTCATATCCATGTTCAAAGCTGGATTAAAAAAATGTAATACACTGAGAAGTCTCTATCTATAATCTATAATTAAAATGCTTTTGTGATTTAAAATGTAAAGGTTCGTTTTCATCAAACCAGAGAAAAAAAGGCTCACGCGCAAGTTTATCAGATTGCTTTTTGCTAAAAAATTCATGTGATAGCCGCCGCCAGGTGTAGATGTTTCTTATGCCTCCTTTTGCTTTTCCTATCCAGTTCCTGTCCATGGCAAACGATATATATTGTACCTTGCGATAGTGGATTCCTTATCTTTGTTTTCGGTTGCTTTTTCCATTTCCCTGGGTTTTGTTCTGAATTTATCTTACTACATCCTGCTGAAATGTCCCTTCTATGAGCAGGATTCTCGTGATCAAGGTTTCTGAGGATAGCTTGGCGTGGCTGGAAGAACGCAGCCGTCTTATAAGAAGCAGATCCCTTGATGTATTACTACAGTTCATCAGTGACAGTGATCGTGCGTTTACAATGTAGAAGCCTGCAAATGGGGTGTTTTGGATCAGGGGGCTAATAATTAATATTACTCTAAAACCAGTACCCGTATTTGATGCCTTGTCCTGTACTGAAACTGTAATAATGGTGCTGGCCACTTGCGTGAACTATAGCTGAACCCCAATCTTGATGTTCAGTTAACTTGTCTATTACAAGAGGCCGTGTGACTGCTGCAAGATATCACTTGTCTGCTCTTCCTTTCTTTCCTTTCCCCTGAGGCCTGAACCCTGAGAAGGGTCTCCATTCCGTGCTCAACGGGAACGGGGACAGGAATACAGGATCCATGAAATCATGTTGCAGTAGGAGAACGAGAACAGGGACAGAAATATGGGACTGGACTGGACATAGTGCATGGAGCTCGGTAATCTCCTCTGACATTCATGTCTTGGATGGTTGAATTTTTCCTACCGTATATAGGAACTGATTTCATATTCTTTTTCGTTATTCATCCATTGTAGAAAAAATATGTTTGATAGACACGTGCGTGATAGTGAGCCTGTGATGCTACGCTCTCTGTGACTGTGTTAATTTTACGAACTTTGCCTTTTTAGATTAAATGTTACTTTAACGTTGGTAGTTAATTTCACAGTATTATTATCTTATCATGCGATCTGTGTGTTTTTAGTACAAAAGTTTTATTGTTCCGTAGCAACGCACGGGCATGCTACCTATATTAGGTATAGATACTTAAGAGTATAGGGTTGGACACGAGGGTAATTTGGGAAGAAAAAAGAAACAGGACAAAAGACGGGCAGTTTGGAAAAATAAAAAACGGTTAAAATAAATGCTTCCCTCTTTAGTATCAGATAGAGATTTGTAAACCAATTTGCAAGTTTGTCTAATGTGACACTACATCAATCATGCTACGAGCACCACTTTAACTAAGAAGGGTAAATAGGACTGCATTGATAAATCGAAGTTAATATATTTTGTAAGCCGATTTGCTCCATAAACTATTAATTGGTGCCACTTAGATGGTTGATATGGTGCTACGTTGGGGGAAAAAACCCCATCATGTTAAAATTTAAGATGGGACAAAAATATGTTTTATAGACGAGAGAGAGAAAACGAACGACCCTTTAAAATCGAGGGGTCAAAGACTTTTTTTTTTTGAAGCCAAAATCCCACGAGACGCATGGGCAGCCGAGGAAGTCCATTTTCTCTAGCTTAGGGCATGTTTGATCAGTTTTGGATTTTTAAAAACTAATTTTTGCCTCTAGTTTTTAAAATCTAGATTCTGAGCAAAAATTGGTAGGGTGTTTGGATCCCTTGGTTTTTAAGAATCTGGCTTCATTTATCGCTCTATAGGTCACAAAAACTAGCAAAAGCTGGGTATCAACAGCTTCCTCGTTTTTAAGAATCTAGTAAAAACTGGCAGCAAAAATTGAGGATGTTTGGATCCCACCTAGTTTCTAAAAGTCAGATTCTTAAAAACTGGCAAAAACTTGAGAAATCCAAACAGGGCCTTAGTGCCTTAGTGGCCTGTTTGTACAGGTCTTTAGAAAGGACCTACATGGGCAAAAAGTCCACATTACCCTCCCTCAACTTTTACGAAAGTCTACTTTTCCTCCCTGAACTTTAAAACCGGCTACACCATCTTCCTGAACTTTTAAAACCGTTTGTTTTACCTCCCTAACCAGATATAAGCGGTTTTCAAAGGCGGTTTTATCTTTTTGTTTTTTATTTATTTCGACTAAATCTTTGAAGAATCATAGTAAATCACAAAAAAAATCATAAAATTGAAAATCCAATTTTGTTGGACTCCACATGATTAAATCTACACAGTGAATATATAATACGGTATGTTTTAGTATAAATTTTTTGATATAGCTTTAGATCTATGTTTTCCTGTAATTAATTCATAGCTGCAGCTTCTATGGTCTAATTGTGGTGAATTTTTTTATGGTGAGTTAATTATTGTATACTTGAATTATAGTAAAAATTTGATACCCATTGGATCATGTATAACTTAATTATAGATTTATAAACTTTTTAACAAGCATAAACCTAAATAAATTTGTAGAATGGAGAGAGGAACTTTATAATCAAAGAAACAAATAAAACTACTCTAAAAATATTTTTAAGTAAAAATACAAATTAATGAAAAAAGCTAGGGACCCGTACTACTTGCGGGAACAACCTTACTAATTAAAAAAAAGATTTTTACTATTTATCTGTTGACAGATTTTTTTTGATACCAAGTCTGTCAAATTTCTATACGTTTGATTGTGCTTTAGGATTTATGCTACAACTGTCACTTTAACGGGTCTTTTATAAAAATCTGACAGATTTTATCACATAAAATATATCGATAGATAACTCGACACTCAAAAAAAAATCTAAATGCTATAACTAGAAAAAGCTAGCAAGTACTCCCTCCTTCCAAGGAAAAAAACGTACTACGGAGGGAGTACATGCATCATCTTGCCAGTAAAAAATAAAAAAAATAATGAATGACTGGGATCTCGAATGTTCTAATAAGTAAATAAAGTAACATTAGATATCGTACTACTAGCATTACGGCGAAGCCTGTTTACGAGATGCGTATTTCATGATGGAACTATGGAAGCACCCGAATTTTCTAGCTCTGCCGACGAGCACCAGTGCCACGGGGCACGTGGGCATTTTTTGTGCTTCGGGGACAGCGGCGCCTGCGTACACGCGCTCCTGCGTCCTGTCGAGCTAGCACACCGGCTCGTCGACTCAGACCGGGTACCGCACGTCTGCTCCTAGTGCAACGTCGCCAAGCTCGATACAAGTAGCTTTTGTTGATTGGTCGTTGGTTAGCAAAGCAGTCTTAAATTTTGACCCGTTTCCAGGAGACAAATAAGCCTACAGTAATCGCTTGGACGTCACTGGTAGTACGTGCATGCAAAAGAAGTCAACAACAGGACCTGACACAGTTGCGTTCACAGGCTTATCCCGATAATATCCGGATGGCAACCTGACAACGGCGAACATCCACGTCGCCCACGTTTGACTGTTCATTTCCTAGGCCATGGATCATAGATGGAGCCAATAATTGCCCGGATGATCCGAACGAATGCCGCACCAGTTGTCTGTTTCTCCGACCCCGACATTTGTGCACGTTTCATGGCCGCATCGGACAGCGGTACGGAGTACCCCGCGCCACACACGCAGCTCGGATATCGCTTTGCAAGACGGCAAGCACACCACGGGCCAGCCGACAAAGAGCGTACTGTACTCCTACTGGCCAACGGTCAAAAGGCGGCAGCGTCGCGGCGGGCACACGGCACGGCCGTCGCGGTCATACAATATCAAGATCTCCTGTACACTACTCCAGCGCAGCACAGTGCCAGTGCGAAATAAACTTGGCAGCGGCTGCACGCGTCTACAAAAACAAGTACGCCACGGCGCGCTGGGGTGCGGACGCAGGAAAGCGGCGCCCGGGCCTCCGGCAGGGAGACCCGCATCTGTGTCTCGGCCGCGCGGGCGGGTGGCGATTCCGACGGCCACCGAGTTCCCAGCCGCCTGACCCGCCCCCGCCTCGCCGGACGGGTCGAAAGGCAGGCTCGAGCGCTTCCCACACGTTGACCGGCCGCGGGCTGCCGCTATCGTGGACGCTGGCCACTCGCAGTCCGACGCGGCCAAGACCCGCGATTCGCGCGTGATCCGCACTGCATTTCGCGGGGTTGACCTGACCCCCCAGCCTCTGGTTTGTGCCTTGTGACCCGGCCGGGGATAGAAACCGTGGTGCCCTTTTGGCAACTTGTGCTGCGGGGGGGATGAATGCTTCGCACTACTGCAGCCTGTGCATTGCAGGCAGGACTGTGCTCCGCAGTACGAAGAGGAAGCGCACAAGGCGACGAGCGGATCTTCATCACCGGTACGCACCGCATCGCCCGACGCGTCGCCTAGTGCGCGCGCGGTCAAAGTCTCGGGGGGGATCCGGCAACAGTGACGACGATGTGGATGGCTGACAGATTGACAGGCAACGCACGCAGAGACGCAGAGTCAAATGCTCATCCGAGGGCGTGTCCGGCACTGGGCACGACACGACAGATATCCGCCGTCCAAGTCTCTCTTCCAAATCGTCAACGGAGTGAAATTGGCAAACACGCCCGTCACGGGCTCACTGCGACGCGATTGCAAAGATCAGGATCGGACACGTCGGCCCCGATCGCATTCACGTGACTCGGGTTACTGTGAGCCAATAGTACGGTTCGGAGACGTCTTCGGAAAGACTTTTCGCGATGCAAAACTCGCAAGCCGGCCGTTAAATACCTTTCTAGGAGGGCAAATGATCTCGCTTTTGACTTTTGTGGACGGATGGAAAGTGGGCATGAAGAAATGCAGAGGTACAGTGCATCCAGGAAAAGCAATGTTGGTCCGTCCGGTCCGCGGCGACGATGACCAGACGACCGAGCAGCGTGCAGGATCGTGCGCCGGTCCGCCCATGATTCAGCAGTACACTGCGCTTGAAAAGGTTGCCACTGGTTAGTTTATTAATCATCCATCAACGTCGTCGCACGAGAGGTCACAGGGTCATTGGCTCCGTTCACTTCGCTTAAAAAAAAAACCAAAACACTATTCTAACTGATTTATCGTGAGAAAAATACACTGTTTTAGCTGAAAAAAATAAACTAAAAAATACAGATTATAAAAGAAACGAACAGGGCCAATACTGCCTAACACTCGCGTGGCGTCACACCATCGGCTACCTAAAAGACTGCAATCAATCGTGCCGATTGCGGGCGAGACGGCTTCCCCAGCTGACAAGTCACGCACAGCGCTAGATCAGATGCTGTTGAGCTATGACAGTCGACAAGCACTGCGTTTGTATGGTGAAGCCAATAATGTGCCGAGTTCTAAGGGTGTTTGGTTCATACCTACGTACACTCCACTCCACTTTATTTTACTCAGGATTGATTAAGGTGGTAAGTGTTTGGTTGAAAATTAAATTTAGATAAGATTTTTTTTAGAGTCCATAGTATTATGGAGTATGACGAGATTTTCTTTAT